GTAGCTTTCTGCTGTGCAGCATAGATAACTGAGATACAAAACCACTGGGTTGTTGCAAAGATTAAGTGCGAGCATGTGAGCATGGTTAGCTCAGCAGCTAGGGGTATCCTTAGAGCTCTCAATACATAGTAGTTAATGATCACAAATATGGACATAGCCCCAGGTAGTTTTCCATGAAGGCATCTTTGGGAATTTGGCCCACAATCAATGTCCATTTCTTCTTCGTTCTGTTCCTTCCTCTTGGCCAATGGCATAAAATAGGCCCTTGATTTCGAGTAACTTTTTGTCAAAGGAGTAGGAGGCTACACTTGCACTCCCCACCCGGAAGTCTAGCGGAGCTTTCAAATCACCATGTTCTGCAGATCATCTACTCTTCTTCATGAAAGGACTCATCGTTAATTCAACAAATGTCTGTTAAAACAATAATACATTTTAATGTCTTGGGGGTATAGAAATAAACAGGTCAGATGGAGTCCCCCACTCTCTTGAAACAAACAAGGTTTTGAGATCCTGGTGACTCCACTCAGTCATTCATGTATTTCTTATTTTATTCATTAATTCATTAAATATTATTGAGCGCCACTCCATACTGGCACTAAGGTAGGGGTACTTATCAGTTTTTCAAGAAATCCTTAAAGAAATGCAGATTTTTAGGTAAAACTTCCAGAGTTTGAAATGTTGGCATCAAATTGAAAAAATCTGAAAGCTTTGTGTTTGTCAAACAAAAAAGCCAAGGGCCGCTGTTCGAAATGCTGCTTTGTCACTCTCATAACCCTCACTGAAATTATCCATGTGCATTTTTGTCTCCCCTTTTAGATGATGAATTCATTTGAGACAAGATCAGTGGGTTCTTCTTGGTGTCTCCCAGGTGTTCTGCACTGTACTTTCAAGGAGGAAGTGTCTATGAATCTTTATGAATTTGACTGCTGAGACACAGTGTCTGTATTTTAGGTTACAAACTGATCACAGAAATAAGACAGACAAGACATGCTCGCAAATAACTATTCCATATTAATAACTATGGTGAAGGCAACAGCCAGAGTTACTGCCAATTACCGAGCCTCTGCAGTGTGCCAGGCACTGCACTGTCTAGAGATCTGCTGCTTACTATAGTCCTCACAGCTAGTCTGCAGAATGCCATCATCAGATGGCACCTGTCTGAGTGCCCTTAAATGCTCTTGCCTTCTGAGGTCACATGTCCTAAAATTTTAAATTTAAAATAGCTTATACCCCCTCCTCCATAAAACAGAAAAGCAACGACCTACCACCAGAGATCAAATGACTTCACTTCTTTTTCAGGTCTTACTCTGGTTTCCTGCCTGTGCTGGACTCTGGACCTTGCTTGTGTCTCATTTCCCACTGTTGACTTTTTTCTCATACTACTCAAATATCGAGACAGCCCTCTCTCCTTTGGTTCTGCAATGTGACCGCAAAATACCTGCTATTAAGAGTTTACTGAAGATTTGGGATTAACAAGTCAGGATTTCACTGAACACACCACAGAATGAGATTTCTAAAAGAATATTCCAGCATACTCTTCTTAAAGGTCTCTTTGCCTGGCATAATATTGGGGAAATCTCACTGGCTTCTCATTCCTGATTGCTTTCTACCAAGTTGCATAGGGATTCCCCCTCTCTCAAGACCATCTCAAATATCTTGATCTGTCACCTCTACCACATCTTTTCCACAACTACTTCCGGTTTCCCTAGTTGCCCCTAGGAACTTCCAATTCTTACCAAGTTTTTAGCAGGATAAATCACTTCTTGTGATTGTTAATTTTATGTGTCAACTTGTCTGAGCTATAGTGCCGATTTCTTCAGTGAAACATCAGTCTCAATGTTGCCATGAAAATATTTTTTAGATGTGATTGACATTTAGTTCAGTAGACTTTGAGTAAAGCAGGTGACCCTGTGGGTGGGCCTCATCCAATCAGTTGATGGCCTTAAGAGAAAAGACTGAGCTCCCCAATGAGGAAGGAACTCTGTCTTCAGCTGGCCTTTTTGCTAAAGACTTCAACAACAAATCTTGTGAGAATTTCCAGTCTGCCTCCCTGAAGACTTTAGATTTGCCAAACCCATAATCACATGAGCCAATTCTTTAAAATAAATTTCTTGGGGCACCTGGGTGGCTCAGTTGGTTAAGCGTCTGCCTTTGGCTCAGATCATGATCTCAGGGTCCTGGGATCGAGCGCTGTATCAGGCTCCTTGCTCTGCCAGGAGTCTGCTTCTCCTTTTGCCTCTGCCTGTTGCTCCCCCTGCTTGTGCTTGCCCTCTCTCTCTGTGTCAAATAAATAAATAAAATCTTTTTAAAAATAAAATAAATCAAATAAATAAATCTGTGTGTGTGTGTGTGTGTGTGTGTATGTGTGTTGTCCTATTATTTCTGTTTCTCTGGAGAACCTTGATTCTTTTTTCTTTGCTGTTCTCTCTTGGCATTGCCCTGAGGTATGGGAGGTCATTCATTGGGCTATCAAGGCATATTGACAAATATAGCCAACAAACCCTAAAGATATTTCTTCTAATTCCTGAGAAAGCAGAACAAAGCATAGACAGATGGGTTTTGTAGAGCATTTTCCTTCCTGAATAAGAGTTTAGTTTGCTTTTCGTTTGTTGATTTGAAGAGCAGAGAAAATGAAAATCAGAGGGATTGGATTATTTCTCCTGAGCTATTAAATGGCTCGTCTGGACTTAGGAACTTCAAAGTTCATGTCCCTCCACCACACCTTACTGTCCCAGTAATGCCAGAAGAACTACGAGAGAAGCATATCTTGCATTTTGGCTCAGTCAGGGAATCCTTCATTGTGAGATGCAGACTCTGGGACCTTGAAGGACAGGTTGTCCATTCCAGCGACAGTGGGTGGGATGATAGCAGAAAGAAAGGCAGGGAAGTGAGAAAGTGGAAGGTTTATTTGAGGGAATAGAGAACAAAGAAATCTGGCTGGGAATTCCATAGCACAGCCTGGCAAGCTAGAGGGGGCACAGCCATGGGAGAACGTGAGTGCCAAGTCGGTAGCTCAGTGAAGCACTATCGCAGACAGAAAGTGTTCAAACCTTAACAGCCTGGGATATAGTGTCACAGGCCCCCTAACTCCTGCACTACTTAGAAGAAATGAAATGAAGAGCCTTAATTGCCCAGGAATCAAGATGAAGACGAAGACATAAGTCATAATTTGCAGCCCCTCTCGCATATTAAGCAACCTGCAAAGCATATCAACTTGAAGGTCGTTTTTAGAATGAGAGAGACACTTGGGAAAGTTAAATTGCTTTTCTCTCAAGCTTCCAAAAAACCCTGTGTACATGAGTTACTATCTATCATCATGAAGATGCCACTGATGAGGAACTGCCTGGACATGAGTAAGATTCTGTTGGGCTCTGTCAACCCGAAATGGCTACCCCCTGCAAGAGCTGCCTGAGACCCAGAGCAGCAGTTACTTTCCTAAGCTTGAGGCTCTAATCCTGGAAGATGTCCTCTTCCCCTTAGAGTCCTTATGGCTTCCTATGTCTCTTGAAGATGAGACAAATGAAGCAGACAGAAAGCAGAAGGTTCAGGGTCTTCTGGGTCATGGAAAGGACATTGATGGTCTTCATCTTGACATTTTCTTTGAGCCTGGTCATCATCAGCCCATCAGCGTCCCATACATGCTGCACTCACTGCCCTTCCCAAAATCCCCTAAATTTTACACAGGTTGATCCCTCTGCCTGAAATGCTCTCCCCTTCCCTCCCCTCTATCATTCAGATTTGGTTAGAATCTGAAAATATTTCGTGGCATTTGGCCCTGGGCAAGCCAGCTGGATGGCACTCTCATGGCAGCCTATATATATAATTTCTTATCACTGGCATCCTTTGGGGCCCTCATGCACACCTGTCTCCATCTGACTTCTTACCCTTCATTCAGGTCACCTGAAGTGTTACCTGCTACCTGCTGCCTCCATCCCCACCCACCTCCCACACTGACTATTATGGCTACTTCTCCTTTGACTCTCTTACTTTGAGTCCTTACATCACACACTGTGGTAGACAGATGTTTTAGTCTGTTCAGACAGCTATAACAGGATAGGAGAGACTGGGCGAGCTTATAAACAACAGAAATTCATTTCTCACAGCTCTGGAGGGTGGCAAGTCTGAGATCAAGGCAAATTTAGTGTTGGGTCAGAGCCTCCCTTCCTGGATCATAGACTCTGTCTCACTGTGTCCTCCCAGGGTGGACAAGGCAAAGAGCTCTGTGGGGTCTCTTTTATAAGAGCACTGATCCCATTCATGAGGTCTCTACCCTCATGACCTAATCACCTCCCAAAGCCCCCACTTCCTAACACCACCATACTGGGGAAATGGGTTTCAACATATGAATTATGGAGCTGAAACAACTATTCAGCCTATAGCAACAGAATAAGGACACCCCCAAAGATGTCCTCATCGACATCCCCAGAACCTTTGAATCTGTTACCTTACATGGCAAAAGGGACTGTACAGATGTGATTGAGGTAGAGACCTTAAGATAGAGAAATAATCCTGGATGTTCCTGGATGGTCCCATGTAACTGCTCACCATGTGAACGAAGGAAAAGAGAAAAGCAAATGACACAAAATTACTCACAGAGTGATATACTGTGAATATGGGGGAGGACAGCATGAGCCAAAGAACATGGGTATCTCTGGAAGCTGGAAGAAGCAAGGAAGCAAGTTCTCTCTGAACCTCCAAAGAAATGCCTTCAAGTTTAGCCTACGTGAGACCATGCTGCTGGGAGACCATGAAGACTCAAACCTCCAGAATGGACAGAGAGTAATTTCGTGTTGTTGTGAACTACTACAAAGTGCATGGTAATTAGCCACAGCAGTGAGAGTAAAACAGTGCCTGTAGCCTGGCATTGTGGTAATACAACGGCTTCTCCTGTCACAAGGCTGGGTCTGCTCAAGGACAAGGAGCTTGCCTTAGTCACTCATGTTTGTGTTCTCAGTCCGTGCCACAAAGTAAACACAACAAATACATTTTGGGGGTTCTTTTTTTTTTTGACTATTATAAAAGTTTATTTAACAAAAAAGTTCAGTATGAAAATGCACACGACCTGATTTTTATATTGTAGTAAAACAGGTACTATGGAGGGGACATGTGGAAGCAGTTGATTTCTTCTGATGAACACACCCATTGTTTATACTCGCTCCAAGGCTTCTAACATGATGATACTATTTCCTCGTATTACCACCATTCCAATATTGTTCTGTTGCCCACTAGTTGCCATCTCCACACATTCATCTATCACAAGATTCATAAACGGATCGAACCCCCGCAATATTCCTTGGACATGCCTGCCACCATTTAATTTCAATGACAATTTCTTGTCCATAAATTTTTTCAACTCGGGAGGGTGAGCTTTGCTCATGGTGTCCACTCCGCAAGCTCAAAGATGCCTCCAAACGGAATTCGTGGCGTCCCTCCTGGGGTTTCTTTTAACTAAATAAATGTGTAAATGAATGAATTGCTCAGTCAACCAACTTTACTCTTACAGATTTGTTTCTTTCGCTTATTTAACTTTTTAAATACTTGAGTGCTTTGTTCAAATGTAAGAGAGAGAAGTGCTTGTACCCATCAGTGAACAGCTTGATGAATTTACACAAAGTGAACACATCTAGCTAACCAACACCCAGCTCAAGACACCAAATGTTAACAGGGCCTCCAGAAGACCCTCCAGGGACCCCTTCCACTCACCAAACACACTAGCAATTTGTACCACCATGTGCTTCTTTTTCAAATAATGCATTCATGTGGTGAGGAATCCAAATGTTCAAAATATATATACAGTGAAAAGTTAAGTTATTTTGACCTTTTCTATGCTGATTCTCCCCAGAGGCAACCAAATAAATTTGCCAATAAATTGTGAATCCTTTCAGGGACATCTTTTGTGTATGTCAGTGTAAACCTTTCAGTTTTTGAATCACGTTCTGCAGAAGAGTTGTCTCTGGGTTAACATTATCTTTAATTTTTGCTCTAAGAAGGCATGTGAAAGTTCAGCATTGTGAGTGCCAACACATGTGGTGTAATTTTCAAGATAAATGACCTCAGTGTATATATATTTTGAACATTTGGATTCCTCACCACATGAATGCATTATTTGAAAAAGGATGCCCAAGTTGCTTTGCTCACTGGTCTGCTGTCCATCTCTGGTCCATCCCTCCTGCCTGAGTCACCTGCCCTAGGATAGCAGAAAAGGGACTTGTCCATGGCTGAAAAGAAAGCAGCCCTTGAACAGAGCACATGATAATAGCTCCTTGGAGGTGGAGTTAGCACCCAGCTGCCAAAATCTGCCTTCTGTTTAAACACAGGCATGTGATTCACTGGTGGTGTAAGTGTGTGCAGAGGGTGTCACATTTCAGCTGCACAGCAGAGTTGTCTGCTTGCTGGAAAAGGCCAGATGTAAGTGAGAACTTCTTTGGGACCACCATCATGCAAACGCCGCGATACCATTTTAGCTCACTGCAGACATGCTCAGTGTAATTCTCTTACCCTCTCTGCCTGGGGGAAGCAAGGCTCTCTCATCCCTTATGCTGGTGCATTCCAAACCACCTTCCCCCAGAACTCACTTCTGTACCCCAAGTGGACATAGAAGGACAACAGGAAAAGCATGGATTTTAAAGTCAGAATGTGTGGGTCCACATTGACCACTTAAAAACCCTGTGACCTTGGGACCTTGGGAAGGTCACTTGGTCTCAAAGTCTCATAATGTGAACAGGGAAAGGAAAACGATGACTTACCTTGCCAGTTGGTTAAGGATATTAAAAAAATAAATGGCAGTTATCAGCCCCCAAGGACTTTGCACTAGAAAATAAAAATAAATAAATAAAGCAGCTCACCTACGTCTTCCATACCAGCTTTCCCATATACATTATCACTATTACCCTGAGTATTCAGGGAACATACACAAAACTTGGGATCATCTTCAATTCCTTCTGCCCTTTGACTTCTCTCAACTGATCAACCACCATCTTCCCCCATCCCTCCTTAACTACTTTTTGTTCCTGCCCCAACTCAAGCTAACCCCTGCTTTCATCTGGTCAGTGGTTCTCAACCATGGGCAATTTTACCTCCCAGGGCATAGTTGGAAATGTCTGAAGACATTTTTGTTGTCACACCAGGAGTACAGATGTGGCTAAATATCCTACAATAAAAAGAGCAGCCTGACAACAAAGCGTTATCAGGTTCAAATATCAATCATACCAAGGTTGAGAAACACTGGTCTGTGTCTCATCTAAATCTCCTTCCCTTTCTCTCTGCCAGACTAATCTTCCTAAAATTTTCTTATGATCTATAACTCATAATGACTCTGTGTTCCCTAGAAGGACAAGCCCAAAATTATGGTTTTACTTTGTTTACCTGTAGAAAAAGAGAATTAATACCAATAATAATTAATAGTTTTGAGCAATAAATATTGTGCTAGGAATGGTTCTAAGTATTTAATGTACATTAACTCATATCATCTTCAAAACAGTGCTACCAGGATTAAATTCAGGTTTTTATTAGCTCTAGTATTGTAAGATGGCTTTCTTTATTGAGCTTGGGACATAGGAGGCACTCAGGAAAATTTGCTGGGCAACAATAGTTAACATCAAATGGACCTGCTAATATTTGTAGAATTTGTTACATAACAGGGTCTACTGTCTCACCTGTATTACTTCATTTTATAATCAAAAACAAACATTTATTCCTGTGACAGGAATAAAATGCAATGGTCCAACTCAAGTTCTCATATGGTTTAAGGCCCATGGGAGGGCAGACACTAAAATAAAATAAAGACATTTTTTTTCATTCCACAATGAAAGAAATTTCGAGGGGCCTAAGAACTCTAGATGTAAATGCATATTCCAGATTTTTTTTCCCCATGCTTTCACTGAAAAGGAATATCTGAGGATTGGCAGTCTTGTATCTTTGAAGAATTTATCTCCATCCACTAGAGTTCCTGAGTCTTATCAAGGTTTCCAGTGTACCAACTTGTTCATTTAGTCTGATTAGGATGACCTCATCAACCCTATGGACTAGTGTGATGTTCTGTAGAAGGTCCAGCTGGTTCGGGACTCTTCATACTAAGACCAGGTATTACAACAGAGGTTGGGAGAGTTAGCATAACCCTAAGGCAGGACAGCAAATAAATACTGTTGTCCAGTCCAGGTGAATGCATCTCTTTCTGATCTTGTTCTGATAAGGTTAAGAATGGATTCACCAAATTGATGGTCACATGCCATGTACTTGGAGACATGCCAATCTGCTCTAGCAAACATCCTACACGTGGCCTAGTAGTTGTAATTTTGGACTACTACTTGGATGAGTGAGCCATAATATATGATCACTGTCCAGGATCTGTCTATGTTTTATAGGAATGAGTCTGAGCAATTAAATTGTGGAATAATAGGGATCATCATGCCTACATCTATTAAGTATTGAAGGGTGATGTTAATTTCTGTCGTCCCCCCTCATATGCAGTATTGTTTTTATGTACTGTTTAATCCAAGGAGTGGGCAGTTTCAGAGAATTTCACTTGGCATTCCCCATTACAAAAGCTCCTACCCTGAAAGCCAAGGTATCAATATAGAAATTGTGGCAACTGCCAAGAGTGTTGTATTAGTCTGCTCAGGCTGCCATAGCAAAGAACCACTGACTTGGCGGCTTGAACAATAGAAGTATGTTTTTACACAGTTCCAGAAGCTTTAAGTCTGACATCAAGGGGTCCACAGGGCTGTTTCTTTGGAGGCTTCCTTCCTTGGCTTACAGATTACCATCTCCCCCTTGAGGCTTCACATGATCCTCCCTCTGCATGTCTGTGTCTCAATCTCCTCTTCTTATAAGGTTGCCAATCCATTGGATTAGGGTCTACCTGAATGACCTTATTTTACCTTATTTTCTTTTTTAAAGCTCCTATCTCCCAAATACAGTCACATCTGAGGTACTGAGGGTTAGGACTTCAGCCCATGAATTTGGAGAGGATACATTTCAACTCCCCTACAGAAGCCCATTCCAATGACATCATTGGGGACCAGAAAAAAATGACCACCTAATATGTCCATGGATCAGTCATTGGATGCAGACCCTCCCAAGAGACATAACCCTGGGTAATGGGGCTCTCTTGAGCTGAACCCATTTTTATAGGGGATTAGAAGCTGAAGGCTGTATGTCAGCTGCACTCCTATAACTATCGGATTCCATTCTTTTTTCCTAAAAGTTGTTCTTCTCTGTGAAACATCAAAGCATCTGTCACACAAGCTTGGCCACTTTGACGACCTTCAAATTGACTCATCATCAATTTGTTGACAATTTACTTGAACATTTTGCAAATTCAGACACTAAGTAATTAAAAAGTATACCATCCCTCCCCAAGTGACAAATGACCATCATCATTCGAAGCCTTTGTGGTTTTCAGCAACAAGGGGTAATCAGTAAATTGGGTATAAAAAAATCCTGACTACGTACTCCCCTCCTGGAACATCCATGCTACTCACAGAGTGGTCCATGGACCAGCAACAGCTGTATCCCCTGGAAGCCTGTAGAAATACAGAATCTCAGGTCCCACCTCAGAACTACTGAATCAGAATCTGCATTGTAATAAGATCCCCAGGTGATTCTTTTTCTCACTAAAGTCTGCATGTGACCTTGAGCAATTAATTAACCTCTGTGAGCCTGATGTTCTTCATCTGTGAAAGAAGGCAATTGTAGCTAGAAGACCCCTTAGATCTCTTCAAGTTCTAAAATGCCGTGAAAATCTGAGCAGTGTTTGATCTTTAAAAGTAACACTGTGTCTCTCATAGAAAATGCATTGAACTTTTAGCCTTCCTTATCCATGAACGTTCCGCTTCCTGCAAACTTGACTTCCATCTGTAATCGACAATTATAGTCGTGGTTGAAAGGAGACTTCTGATAGCCTAAATGTAAAAGGCATACCTTGTTAATATGTCAGCTCGGCACCTTAAGGCTAACGTAACTTAGAGGTGTCTCGTGGTAATGTGTAAATGTGCTAGACCAACACTTACTGGAGCTTAAGAAGTGATTTGGGTGAGGCCAGCAAGGACCATTATCAGGTTCTTCATTTAGTGACTTGACCATAATAAAGAACTGGCTCTTGGTTAGCCAGTGTAATTTATGGCTATACTTCATTTAGATGCAGTCATCAGCAAGATAGTAATGGGGGGCAGGTCGAGGGGAGGAAAGATTTGTGACGAATGAAAGATGGAAGCTTTAAGGTTGAACACCAAATTATCTCCTGTTCTCTTTGTATGAACTATTTGAAGCCCCAGGCCCCCTTCTAAATTGAAACTTCCCAAATGATTAAGAGCCCCAAAGTACTTGAAAGGTACTGCAAATAGAATTTGGTATAAGAAATGGAAGTCAAAATTTACCATCAAAAGATGTGTTCATTTTTTTGTAAAGATCGCAAAAATGAAGTTGA